TGACGAGCGCTCGCAAAGCTGAAGTTCGGACCTGGAGTCAGTTGAAGGCTCAAGAGATTGTGCAGCATCCACCGTGACAAACTCCTCTAGAGAATATGCTCCTGGGAAATTGGAACCCTTGGTCACTGCTGGTGGGAGTGTAAAATGGTGTGACCACTATGGAAGGCAGTATGGCACTTTCTCAAAAAGTTGCAAGTAGAAATACCATTTGACCCAGCAACTCCACTACAGGGAACATACCCAGAAAAGAAACCAGAACTGTCACCCAAACAGATATATGCACAGCTATGTTTATTGCTGCTTTGTTCACAATAGCAGAGAGATGGAAGCAACCCAAGTGCCCATTAAATGAATGGCTAGAGAAGCTGTGGTATATTCACACAATGGACTACTACACGGCACTGAAAACCTGGGAACTCATAAAATATTATACAAAATGGGTGACCCTGGAGGATATTATGCTGAGTGAAGTATCTCAGTCACAAAAGGACAAATACTGCATCATGCCACTGTTATAAAACAGGACTGATATGGGGGTTGGGAAGAAATGAAGAAAAGAGGGGATAAATAACGAACACAACGTTGAAACAGATGAGGGAAAGAACTGTCAAAAAGAGATATATTATTTGCATGACAACAATCCAGAATGAGAGGTGCATAGCAAGGTGGACTGGGGGAAGTGGGGGAATGGAGGAAATGGTGCAATGATAAAGGAATCTTTTTAAAAGTTAAGCGATGTGAGTGAGGTGTAAGGAGGGAAATGTGCAACAATCAAGGAATAGAAACTCAAGTTTTCTGTAAACTCTCTTTAACATATCAACAAGAAAGACAGCAACAACAAAAGCATATGCCCCTGGCCCTGTGCGCGCTGACTGCAGTGTCGGTAGTATAATGCCCGAGCCATCCTTGGGATCAAAGAAAGGCTCATTTGATGGGCGCTTTTCCTCCCAGTGACACTGTGGGTATTCTGGACTTGCAAAAGCAAGTATTGAAATGAAGTTCTACTTCTCAAGCTTTTTCTCCTTCTAATGTAAATATGAATGATGATGCCTGAAAGTTACCAAATGCCACATTTCTTCATATAAAAACCCTGATTGATAGAGTATAGTATTGGTAATTCAAAGTTTGATAAAGACAGGGTTGAAATTCTTGGCAGAATATGCCATCTCTTCTAATTATTAGCCTCGTATCACTGAAAACAAGGGCTGACATTTCTCACAAAGCCAGCAATTTTGTTCTTGCTATATTTTTGCTGTTATTTGGCCAAAATGACAAACTTCTTGAGGTTGCTGGTCTGGCAAGGCAGAGTAATCTCATGCAATTTCCAGATTCATCTTCCTCCTCAAAGGGGTCATATTACCTACCCTGCTCTGGACTGTTTCTTCTACTGACACAGCCATATAAGAGAGGCCAAGAGGAAGGACACCAATGCCTGGGACTGAAGTCCTTAAAGGATCACCTAGTCTGCTGTGGCTTCTGTATTTCACATCAGTGGTGATATCTGTACCTCCTTCTAGAGCTGTGTGCTCCCCTTTGCAAGAAATAGGTGCGTGCCAGAGCCAACAAGTGCATATGTGCAAGGCTTGGCCCACAGGGTAATGTGTCAGTGCCGTCCCCCCCTCTCACCCCTGCAGCTCTCACTGGAAGGTCTGAGGACATAGAAGCCTCTCATCTCATATAAACTCATATAAACTCATATAAACTCATATAAACTCATGCCCAGGAGCCCTCCACCTCCTGCTGTTAGCTGCCATCAAGTTACAGCCCTTGATACATGGTGGCCCCGTGCACGGTGAGCAAAACACATTCCAGTCCTGTGCTGTCCTGTGATGGGGTTGTGAAGTGAATCTTTGTGAGGCATAGTTTTTGCAAGTGGATCACCAGGCCTTTCTGCTTAGTTCATCATCAGGAAGCTCCATTGAAATCTGCCCAGCATTATTGCATCACTCAACCTACCTGCCCTGACAAGCTGGTGCGTGGGGTGCGTTTGCTGGGGGTTGACCTTGGGTCTCCAGCATGGAAGGTGCGAATTCTATCACTTGCTTCTCCCTTATATTTGGAAGCAGCCTTTGTTTCTTTTCAATAAAGGAGTAGAAGATGTTCTTAAATCACTCCATTTACACAAAAGTGAGAATTAATGTATGCTTGAATGTGGCCTTTTCTTTTCATAATTCCAAGGACTTTCAGCTGCAGGGGAATGGAGGGATGGGGGAGCAAAAGAGGACAGGGCTCATTTACATCCTTTGGTGCTATTTTCTGTAATCTGAATTTTCCAGCAGTAGAATGAAAAGAAATGTAGATAAAATGAGTAAATTATGTAGGGGAATGGAGGGATGGGGGAGCAAAAGAGGACAGGGCTCATTTACATCCTTTGGTGCTATTTTCTGTAATCTGAATTTTCCAGCAGTAGAATGAAAAGAAATGTAGATAAAATGAGTAAATTATGTCTATGCCAGAAACCAAAATTTGACCTTGAGTCTATCTCACTTGAATTTTGAAATTATCTCAGGAACAGCTTTGAGACCTTGAACACTAATGAGTGAAGACCTGATGAGCTGTGGGAGGTTATCAAGAATATCATCCAGGAAGACTGCAATAGGTCATTACAAAAACAGGGGAGGAAGAAAAGACTAAGATGGATGTCAGATGAGACCCTGAGTATTGCACTTGAGTGCCACAAAGCCAAGGCTAAGGGAAGAAATCAAGAAATGAAGGAGCTGAACAGAAGATTTCAAAGGGCAGCATAGGAAAACAAAGTATTATAATGAAATGTGGAAAGAGTCAGAAAATCAAAAGGGCCAAACCTACTTTCTTTTTGTTGTTGTTGTTTTTTTAATTTACAAATTTCAATGATAATTTACAGAGACTTTGGATTTCCACTCATTCATTGTTGCACTTTTCTCCCAACCCTCCCCCCACCCCGAGCCTGCTTTCTTAAGCTGAAGGAACTGAAGAACAATTCAAGCCTTGAGTTGCAATACTTAAGGATGCTTTGGGGAGAACATGAAATGATCCAGAAAACATTAAAAGAAGATGGAAGGAGTATACAAAGTCACTGTACCAAAAGGACTTGATAGATGGCAAAAAAGATTAAAAATGTCAACGATTTCACCTTGTGTGGATCCACAATCAACACACTTGGTACTAGCAGTCAGGAGATCAGGAGCTATATTGCAGTGGGAAAGTCTGCAATCAAGGATTTTTCCAAATTGCTGAGGAGCAACAATGTCAATTTGAGGACTAAGTTGTGCATATTTCAGCCTATGATGTTTCTAATCACTTGCTATGCATGTGAAAGCATGAATAAGGATGACAGCAGGCAGAGAATTGATGCCATTGAGCTGTGATATTGGAGAAGAGTACTAATATCCTATGGATTGCCAAAAGAATAGATATGTCTTGGAGAAAGTGCAGCCAGAATGCTCCTTGGAGGCAAAGATGACAAAGTTTTTTCTCACATGCTTTGGGCATATTGTTAGGAGAGGCTGTTCCTTGGAGAGGGAAATCATGTCAGCAAAAGAGAGGAAAACCCTCAAGTAGGCAGCTAAGGGCTCGAGTGTGTCAGAGACTGAAGAGGGCACGCACAGGAGAGGACAGGGTTCAGATCTGTCGTTCACAGGGTCGACAGCACCTAACAACAACAATACTGTTGAAGATAGCCTTCTTGGACTCTAATGACAGTGCAGCACTTTTGAAGACTTGGCCAGGTGTTCCTGTTTAAGCTTATCCATTGCTTTTTTTTTTTATGCCCTCAAGTCAGCTGCACCTTTCAGTGACCCAGTCCTTTCAAGGACGGAGCAGAACTATTCAGCATTGCTTCTAGACTCTTCTCTTTCCGGGAAAAGAGCTCTGGTGACATGTCTGTTGAGTGTTGAGCGTTCACGTCTCTGGCCGTTGAGTCCACAAGGCCACTGCATGGGAGAAGGATGAGCAGCCTCCTCTGGTTAGGGTCCTGCGTCAGAAACCGGAGGCTTGTGTTGACTTGGATCCGATTCAATGGCAGTGAATCTGAGGTTATTGTTTTGAATTTTTAGAGGCACAGACTGTCGCTTCTTTCTCCCAAGTAGTGGCTAGTGGGTTTGAACTGCTGATGTTTCGGTTCACAGTTTAGTGCTTAATGACAAAGTCCTCACCGCTCCTCTATATTTATGCTCTAGTTCTAGTGGCACAGTGCCTTCCCATAAAGCTTTGCAGCCTTTGCAACCTGACGGAGGGTTGCCTTGAGTTGGACGCGACATAAGTGGGCTTTTGGTTCACACACTCGTGCACGCGCGCGCACACACACACACACCCACACACACCTTTGTAGCATAATGTGGTAGTGTTGCACTGCTGACCAAAAGATCAGCGGTTCAAACCCACCAACCTATCCATAGGCGATTCAGCTGCCCTGGAAACCCTACACACACATACACACACACACACACACACACACACACACAAGAATTGGAACTGTCCCTGGAAACCCTACACACACACACACACACACACACACACACACACACACGAATTGGAATTGTTGATTACGGTGGGTTAATGGAACACAAACACATCACTAATGAAACCAAGGTAGCAAACCAGATGGCCTGCTTCAAGGACATGCAAATGGACAGAGCGACCTCTAGTGGAACTGTTGAACAATTTTTCTACTGGCTGTTAACGCAGCCCTAAACCAAGCCAAACTCATGAAGGGCTAGATGTCAAAGTCCTGAGCTTAGAAAGAGAAGCCGTGGGAGGGGGTGGCAGAGGGTCTTGCTTAGGGTATGACTGAACATGTCAAGAAGCCAGTGGTACTGTGACTAGTTTTTTAACTGAGTCACCTCGTCATCTGCTTTGCTTGGCACAGTGTGTGCCCGTGAGCAGGTGCCACCACCATGCCAACCCGGCTGTGCTCCTCCAACTCCACAGGGCTTTGCTTCTACCTCTCAGACAGAAAACAGAACTGGAAATTGCGGGCGATTCAGCTCCCTTTCACTCCCCTGAAGCCCCGTAAACCTCAGGCTACCAGCTGTGTTCACACTGCAGACAGCCAGAGAGCCTGTACACCCTGGTGCCCTGTACATGTGGCGGGCAGAACCAGCCAACTGCGGACGCCTCGGGATGCCATTCCCAGCGCGCATGTGGAGCAGGGCCCAGACTGACCCTTTGTGCAGGGTTAGAGGGCCCCCTGGCTGTCAGGCTGAAGATAGCCAAACTCGACCCCTCTCAGGCTGTCCATCCTGATGAGATGAGCCCTGGAACCCCAAACAACTGTACTAGACCGGAGCAAAGAGCCGAGAATGGAAGGAGCGGAGCCTGCCTTCCAGGAGCGCCCAGCCCAGCATCCCCGGATCGGGATCGAGAGGAATGTGCTCCGGAAGTCCCAGGGCAAGGGAACCGGTAGGCTGGATGCAACCCTGGAGAGCACACGACCTGGAGGAATGCCTCCAGCAGCCGGAGGAAGCTTCTGAGGAAGGAAAGTGGCCCAGGAAAACAATGGCAATTTCCTGTGCTCGAGAAGGACGCGGAAAAGGACAGAACACGAATGGGAGCCATCTTCCAAAAGTGTCACAGTGGAAACGCCCCCCGCCTTTCCCGGCTCAGCTGCTTTCTCATCAGATTTCCTTCTTGCCCTCCCGCTGCCTCTGCCCAGTGCCATCTCCGCTTCCACGGGGCCAACACACCCGGAACTGTGCCGCCCACGATTTGCTGTCTCACCAGAGCTTCACAGTCTAGCAACTGCATTCACTTTCGCAGTGTTTGTTTTCTGTTTATTTGTTTCTTCTCAAGAGGTAGGCAATGCATAGCCAAGGGTCTTCCTCCCCTGTATTATATTTGCATTCTTTCTGCTTTCTATTCTCCCAGCAGTTTGCCTCTGTGTGAATGCTGTGCTCCTCTCTGACTCAGGATTTGATATCTCACTCAACTCTATGGCTTCGTGCTCTGTGCGATGTGAGGTGTGAGACTGCACTTTATTCATAGGCTTTTTTTCCTCTATGAATTTAGTATACTCTTGATTATGGAAATTGATTAAACATGTACAGAAGTGCACATAATGGAATGATTAACTCCTGAGGTGCTCATCACCCAACTTCCTCAATTTTCTTTCATCAACCTTCATCTCCTTCTCCTCCTAACATACAGATTTATCAATTTTTAAGATTGCTTATGACATCTTTGAATATAATCTCATCACCATTTCTACCAGCACAACTCTTGACTCTCTACTTTTTTAATTTTCTTTTTTTATTGAGTTTTCAAAAAATTTTATTTTATAAATTTTAATGAACATTTACAGAGATTTTGCATTTCAGTCATTCATTGTTGTACTTTTTTATTTACCCCCCTCCCCCCAGTTTGCTCCTCTCTTTGAAAAGCAAAAGATAAACTTCTTCGTTGGTATACAATCCCACCGATCCTGCCCCCGCCCCCCCAATGCACTCCACTGTGCAACCTTAATTCTGGATTCCTGTGATAATCATAATATGCTATCATATATCACTTTTAAACTGTTCTTTGACTCTCCACTTTATAATGAGGCACTTAGTGTGTCTAATTTTCCTCCTCCCAACTTTTTTTAAAAGTTTTGGTTCATGCCATTTTTTATGAGAAGGTGACTCACAGGGAGATCATTGTGTGTGAAATCCTTAGAAAGTACACTGGGCTACAGGAAGCTGGGAGAGACAAGAAAAGATCTTCCCTTGAAGCTGTGAGATAATAGATTTCTGTTCTCATAAGGTACTTTGTTAAGGCAGCCCTGGGAAATCAATACAGAGGACTGAATAGTATCGTCTGAAATAAACATGTTCAAGTTCTTGCTTTCTGTATCTGTGGATGTGATCCTGTTTGTAAAGAGGCATTTTATTTTACGATGTTAATGAGGTCATGCCAGTGTAAAGTGGGGCCTGAACCTAATACCTTCTTGGTCTTATTTTTGCGCTCATTCTCTCTTTCTCATTACTGTCAAGTTAAAGCCAGCTCATAGCTGATCCTCCATCGGGTTTTCTGAGGCTGTAATTTGGAGATTGCCTATCTTTCTTCCACGGAGCTGCTTCCATAGAGCTTAGCTTTTGGGTTATCAGCACAGCCCTCTGGCCTCTGCCACTGCAGCTCTCTGGAACAGATATAGAGACCCACAAAGGGGGAACGTGGACACTAAGGAACCCCAAGAAACTAGGCAGGAGGCCCACAAGTGGAACTTTAGCCTCTAGAGCTGTGAGAAAATAAATTTGTTACAGGAGCACTATTAAAAAATTAAAAACAATATGCCTTCAATATTGTTACATTCTAGGAAGTTCTGGCGGCCTAGTGGCAAGAAGCTGCGCTGCAATCCCAAAGGCACACGGTTCAAATCCACCAGCTGCTCCACAGGAGAAGGATGGCCAGTCTCCTTCTGTGCGATTAAGTGCCTCTGAAAACCTGCTGGAGGGTCAGCTATGTGTCAGTTCTGACTCAATGGTACACAACAACAATAGCAACAGTAAGATGACACACACCTTAATTTCTGTAGTGGATCTTACTTGCATGGAAGGCACCCAAGCGTCGAGGACGCTCCTTCATAGGGTCGCTATGAGTCGCCTGCAACTCGACGACACTTAACAACAATAACATCAACAGAGAGAGAAAGAGAGAGAGATCAGCTGGCCCAGTGAAGAGAAAACGATGTGACCAAGACCAAGGTGGGTGACTTTTAAGCTGCGGCCCTCGGGCCAGTCTTTCATTGTTTTTGTTCAGACATTCCTCTAGGTCGTATAGCCCTGGTATACAAGGTGCCGTCCCGTGGTCACTTGTGGTCGCTGTGAGGCTGAACACTGTGACACAGATGTGTCAAATGTGTTAATGGTTGGGTACCTAATGCGGACAGAGAGTGAGGTGGAGCTCCCCGATTAAAACAAGCGTGGAAGGAGGAGTGGCATCCACTTCCATAATAGATTGCCTCCGGAAACCCTATGAACTGGAGAGAGGATGAAAGGCACCCAAGTGTTGAGGACTCTCCTTCATAGGCTTGCTATGAGTCGCCTGTGACTCGACGGCACTTATCAACAACAACAACAACATAATGATATACTGTGAAGCTATTAAAATAATAGATCTGTATGCGCTCACACGGTAAGGTGTCCAAGGTACAGTAATTGAGAAAAGTAAAATCTACTTACAGAATGCGATGTATGATTCCATTTCTTATAAAGGTAAAATGAAACTATATATGGTAGATGTGTGTGCATTGACAAAATCCAGGAAGACCTGCATGTGGGCTTTCACTTTTTGTATCACTGTTCAAATAAATATTAGTAACCAAATGCCCTGCAATCCCAAAGGCATGCAGTTCGGATCCACCAGCTGCTCCACGGGAGAAGGATGGCCAATCTCCTTCTGTGCAATTTCCTGCCTCTGAAAACCTGCTGGAAGGTCAGCTATGGGTCAGTTCTGCCTTGATGATACACAACAACAACAACAACAATCCTGAGGCAAGAAAGCTAAAACAGCACACCCAGTAGCCAGTCTGCCCACACCCAGAAGGATCCAGACTTAGACCTGCCTTCCCTCCTGCCCCTCAACAAGCCCACGAAGGAACTCCATGCATGTTTTGAGGCAGGGCTGTGGGCAAATTTTGTCTCAGCCCCTGGGTTTATTCAACTAGCTGGGTGTTTGATGTTTTCTATTTTCTTTCATTGGCATGAAATACATAAACAGCATTTGCCCTCTATTCTGTGTAAAACTCAGTGATATGAATTATGTCCTCTGTGTTGTGCAGCCATCACCACTCAACTTTCAAATTAGTTCCTCCCCAACCCTGAAACCCAGCCCCTTTGGAGCAGTAATGAAAGGCTTTAGGGGAGAACCAGTGCACCACACATAGGTCCCTGGCACCACAGCTCTGAGGCAGTGCGAGCAAATGAGGGCATGAGCAACTTTCTAACGGCTCCTGGAGCCCATGTTGACTAGGAGCCTCTAGAATCGGTCAGACCTCTCTTTTGGAGGGTAGTTTTGCTCTCCAGCAATGTCAGATCTTTGTTTTAGGAGAAAAGGTGAGAGCCTGAGCAGCCACTAAGACAGGGCAAGTGGCAGGATGACCAGGGCTAGCTGGGTGCTGGGTGAGACTGGTGGCTTAAGCCCTGGGATTGGCCTTAAACTTCCTTGATTGAGGAGGTGCCTGCAATGTTCTGGTGTGAACAGTCTCCCCCTGCTGGTGCAAAGCAGTCTTGACAGCAATGTTAGTGAGCTGCTGTGGATTCACGGGCTGGCCTGCTTTATCAGCTCTCTCTCTCTCAAGCTCGGCTGGGGCCCTTGATCAAGCCTCTGTTAGTCTCTGGGGGCTTTCCTAGCCAGAGCTGTGGAAGAAGAAAGAGTGTTGTAGCCAGCGTACTGCATGACTGGGGTGCACTGCAGAACCTATCTCCTATCTGCTGTTGTGGAACGACGTTATTTTAACTGAGTGAGGAGACTGCGGGTAGAGGGCCTGGCTCACATCTTCAGTTTTCCAGAAGCTCCCTTTTAGCAGAGGAATGGCCTTCCCAACGTTCTGCCCAAAGGAGATAGATGATTTCTGCCACCAAAGTTACGGCTCTTCTTCCACCCATCCCATCGCCCCTTCATTTCCTTCCTCTTCTCCTCCACCCCTTGCTTTCATTTCCTCCCTTTTCTTCTTGGCTTTTCCGAGAAACACGGGTTCAAATCTTGGCCAGTGCTCCTCATGCACAAACCATCATCCTTCAGTTAGTGGAGGCTTTCGTGCTGCTGTGATGCTGAACACGTTTGAGTGGAGTTTCCAGACTAAGAATGGCCTGGCAAGCTCCTTCCAAAAATCGTGAGGACGGTGCCACAGCTGGTGCTTTTCCAGTCCTGAGCACTTGGCTGTCGCCCAGAGTGGGGGCAGCTAACCATTGCCTCTCAACACACAAGCTCGCTGTTTTGTTCTTCCGCAACTAACAAGGCCAGCTCCCTCCCTCTCACCGCCTACAAGTCCAACTGTCACTTTCCTAGGGAGGTCCCTCCCGCCCCTGCCCTCCCTGCTTCACTTTTCAGCAGGGCACGCCCCCTGACAGACAGGCTGCATGTCAAAGATTCTTCACTGCTTGTCTGGAGGCCCACGCACCGGTCAGGGGACCGACACTGTTCGCGATCCTTAGTTGAGCAGGAAAGGGAGTCCTTAGAGATGGAAGGAAAACGGAACCAAACTAGCCAGGCCGTTTTGACTCAGTGGGACCCCCTCCCCTCCGTCGGGTTTCCAATGCAGATCATCACAGGAAGATACTGGCAGATTGAACCGCCGACCTTTCCGCTGTTGTTGTATACCCTCGAGTTGGAACCTCGATCCTCCGGCGGGTTTTCAGACACAGTTAATCAACCGGGAGGAGATTGCCCATCCTTCTAGCTGGTGGATTCGAACAGCATGCCTTCAGGCTTACAGCTACTGTCCACTACGCCGGCAGGGGACCTTTGGCGATAGAATAAGGAGGCCTCAAAGCGAAGGGTCCCCGTGAAGGAGACGGTGTTTGAACCCGGGGAAGGCAGGCGGGGCTGACAGCCCGCGCTTCACGCTCAGATCACGCGCTTGCGCCACGAGCTGGGCGAGGCCCCGCCCCCTGCGGGCCGGGGCGGGGCCGGGAGAGGGCTGTGCGCAGGCGCGCTTGCTCTGGGCCCGGCGTCGCTTGGGCGGGGGCGGCCGCCTGGCGCAGTTAGTGTTCGTTGTTCCTGACAGAGCGGCGCAGGCGGCGGCGGAGGCAGCGGTGCCGTGGCCTTGTGGCCACAGGCGGCCGCTGCCGTCCTGCGGGGCGGCCCGGAGCCGAGGTGCCGCCGCCATGGCCGGCCCGGGGCCTGCTCGGGCTGGGTCTGGTGCTGGCCTCCGTCGGCGCGGCCCTGGCATCAGTGGCGCAGAGGAACTCGACCGCAGGTGGCCCCCGAGCCCTTGCCCCTCCGGGCCGCTCCGCCTCGCTCCTCCGCAGCGTCCTTCCTTCCCACCTTCCCTGCCTGCATCCGTTTCTTCGTCCCCGTATTTTCCTGCCCTCCCTCCCTCCATCCACTTCCACCCCTTTTCTCCTTCCCTCCAGCCACCATCTTTCCCTCTCGTTCCTCTTCCCTTCATCCATTTTCACATCTTCCTTCCCATCATTCCTTCATGCGTCCCTTCCTCCATTTTCCTTCATCCGTCTATCTTTCCCGTCCTCCATCTTCCTTTGCCCCGTTTTCCCTGCTTTTCCTCCTTTCCCTTCAGCCATCCATCTTTCTCTCCCTCTTTCCATTTTTCTGTCGCACATCCACCCATCTTCGCCGCCTTCCGTCAGTGCATCCCTCCATTTTCACCCTTTGTCTTCTTTGTCAATCCGTTCAGCCTTGCCTCCCTCCTCCTTGCCCTTTCACCTTATCTCCCTCCATCCTTCATCCCTCCCACCACCTGTCTTTCTGCCCCTGCCAACATCCTTCCCTTCTCGCTCCCTCCCTTTCGCCATCTGTCTTTCTCACAGTCTGTGCGAGGCCTTACCTCCGTTCATATCTTTACATCCCCCCTCCTTCCTTAATCATAGCTTCATCCTATCACACAAGACTATTGTTTCTCTGCACACTGCGCCCCAAGAGCCACCGAGACAGAGTGTGGGTTTATGTCCCCAGTGCCACCCCTGCCCTGCAGGTCCAGCATGGGCACTGGCTTGGCAATGGGCTGGTGAGGGCATGGTCTAGCCTTGGGTTCTCAGTGCTCCAAGCCCTGCCCCAGGTGTAGCATGGCTGATCTCACCAAGCCTCCCCCCTCTTCTCTTCCTCCCAGAAGATGCTCTGAATATCCTGTTTATTGTCGTGGATGACCTGCGCACCTCCCTGGGCTGTTACGGGGACAAGCTCGTGAGGTCTCCAAACATTGACCAGCTGGCATCGCACAGCCTCCTTTTCCAGAATGCCTTTGCCCAGGTATGTCCAGGACCCCAGGTGTGGGTGTGGGCCTTGGGGCCGGAGGGGTGGGCCTGTCATTAGAAGACACTGATGGTGCCAGATACCTTGGGGTTAGAGGGTACCAGTCTGTACCAGGGTAGTAGAGAAAAGCCAGTTGACTGCACACAAGGATGCTTGTGCAAGTGAACTTGACCAGGAGGCACGCTCCTGCCCAGTTTTCTGGCCAAGGTGGGGCTCAGGAGGAAGGGCACTGCAGAATGCCCCCTTTGGGTGATTGCCATGGAGCGTCCCTCCTGAGCCGCTCCTGGTGCCACTTGAGGGTAGTGGCTGCTCTGTGACTGGTGAGAGGCACTCACATGCCATTTTCTGCCACGGCCTCCATTTACCTTCTGGGGAGACTTGATTCTGGCACCAAGGCTAGGCCGCACTGCTGCTGATTGCCGTGGTGACTCAGCCTCCACTCTGTTGACAGAGGCCTTCAGGAAGCTGTGTGGCACCTTCCAGATGACAGGTCTGTTTTTCTCTGAGGGTGATTAACTCTGCTTCTGTTTCCTCCCAGCAAGCAGTGTGCGCCCCGAGCCGCGTGTCCTTCCTCACGGGAAGGCGGCCTGACACCACTCGCCTCTATGACTTCAATTCCTACTGGAGGGTGCATGCTGGCAACTTCTCCACCCTCCCCCAGTACTTCAAAGAGAATGGCTATGTGACCATGTCGGTTGGAAAAGTCTTTCACCCTGGTACGCCTCGCTCTCCTAAGCCTTGACTTCCTTTTGTTCATGCCCAAGCAGAGCAGTTCTTTCTGGGCTTGGCATGTCTTGGAAGGGGCCTTGTCTAGTGGGGTGGGCCCTTCATTAGCCACTGCCACCTTTTCACTTGGCAGTGTGGCTTCGCATTCTCAGTGAGAGTGAAAAACCACAGAACGAGTTCTTGCTCCTTTCAGAAATAAGCCATGGGGCTCTTTGGTTCCTTGAGCCCCCTGGACAGTAGGGAGGACACAGGATAGGGCGCCGGAAGTGTGGGGTACGAGCCCAGCCCTGCTCTTGACCCTCTGTTCCTCAGGGCTTGTCAGTGAAGGCCTCCAGGGTAGCTGGGCTGTCGAGCTGCCCTGTCCCCTGTGTGAAAGGGCAGAGGCCAGTGGCCCCAGTACTGGTCACGTGCCTTCCCTTAAACCCTTGGCTGGTTTTCATGTGCCATGAGAATGCGGGTATTTCGTATTTATAAACGTGTGTGGGTGAATTTGACCAAATGTCAGGAGAAAAGGAAAATATCAACGAGAATACAAGCCACTGGCTCTCCCACCACCCTGTGTTCTCGGTTCCCCTTTCTGTGCCGGTTACTTTTCTTATTGGAGATCATTTTAGCCATGTTATTTTATAGCTTAGAATTTTTTTTTTATAGAATTTTTTAAGACACGAAAATTTGCCCATGTAGTTATTCTTCTCAAACTTCTATAAATAACCCTTTCACTGTGAGGATTGAATTTCATGACGTTTCAGCCCTTTTCAGGTGTCTGTTTCGGGGGGATTAATGGGGACATACTCCCTACCTCCCTTTGCCTCTACACTAGTTTGCCTGCATGGCCTCATTCACTACTTGTTCCTTTTTTCTCACTTTGCGCAGTGTGGACAGAGCACATTTTGTTGATGGACACCTGAGTAGTTTCAGCCTTTTACCTTTTGTGAACAGTGCTGAGTGGCCATCCGTATACATGCATCTCGTGGAGTCTGCTTTCAGGTCTTTGGCATATGTATCTTTTGGGATATGTATATATTCCACTTGAAAATGGAATTATTTGTTCAGTCGTAATTCTAAAACGGCTGCTAACCGAAAGGTTGGAAGTTCAGATCTACCAGCCACTCCAGGAGGGAAAGATGAGTCCCCTTCCATAAAAACGTACTGTTTTGGAAACCCACTGCAGGGGTACTGTGAGTCAAAGCACCGCTTATCCAGAGTCCTTTTTCACAGCCAGGTCATAGTCTAAACACGCAGATCCATCACACTGCAGTCTGTGATGGAACTCCGAATTGCTTTCCGTTCCTTGCTGCCATACAGAACGCTGGAGTGAACATCTCTGAAAACAGAGTGAGCTGCTGGTGGCCAGTGGCACCAGAACTCCAGGACTCAGGTTCTAGGCCCACCTCTGCTGCTGCTTAGCTGTGCAGTTGACTGTGGCAGGTCATTAGTCCCCTGTGAGCCTCAGATGCCTTGGCTGTGAGGGCGGAGTGATTGCTGTCCTGATGATCTCAAAGGGACGCCTCCAGACCCAGGTGGGGAACGCCTTTGAAAGTTCCCTGAAGATGGGGGTTCTTGGATGAAGAGGAGGGACCGTGACTCGGCCAGGGTCACGCATGAGGCCCGTGTGTGACTGCTGGGGCAGGGCCTTCTAGGTTAGCTCCCGGGCCCACATGGTGCCGGCCCTCTGCACAGCTGCTGCTTGGTCCTTGGTTTCATCTGGCAGTGTGCTGTCTGTCCACGTAGATTTTTGCCTCTCATGGGGGCCCTGGCTTCTGCTGAGCCTCCCCGCCCTCACTTGGCAGAGGCTGGCACATGTGCCTCTGTTGCCCTCCGCAGGCTGTGGGAGGGATCTGGTGTGGGCTTAAAAGCTAGGCTGCTGTCACAAATCCCCACAAAGTGGTTGATTGCAAACAAAAGACTAATTGCTGCCCAGGTGCATCTGACTTGAAGTGGGTGACTCTTAGTGGCTGGGATTTCAGAAGCAGATGTGTGTTGGTTTGCAGCCAAGCCCTTTATCCACTGTATTGTCCAGGGACTCCTGGCTTAAAACAACCGAAATTTAGTCCCTTTCACTTTTCGGAGGCTAGAAGTCCAAGGTCACGGTATGGGCGGGCTGTCCTCTCTGAAGGCTCTGGGGGAAGACCCTTTTCCACATCCTCTGGCTCCGGTGGCTCCATCCTTGCAGGCTTGCTGCCAGCTCCCCAGCTGCTCTTTGTCTTTCTCTTCTCCCTGTCCTGCAATATGGCTTCCTGTTAACTGGCTCCATCCATAGAGACCCAGTTTCCAAGGAAGGCCGCATTCATAGGTGCAGGGTTGGAATTTGAGCAGCCTTTTCTGTAAGACATATGTGCATCTGTAACAGAGCTTAACCCAAATCATGTGGGAGTAAGTAGGAGGTGAGCTGCTGAACCCACAGCTTGACACCTGGCTTGGCTTTAGTATGGACTTCTCATCTGGCCCAAGCCCTTGCTCGGATAGATGAGAAAACAGGCCCAATTGTTTACCGCTTTCCTTTTGTGCAGGGCAGAGGGCACAGAAAGACCTTCAGGCTCTATTTAAGGACTTCCTTGTTTCCCTTCTAGGAATAACTTCCAACCACAGTGACGATTCTCCTTATAGCTGGTCCATTCCGCCCTACCACCCCTCCTCTGAGGTGTACGAAAACACCAAGGTAAGCAGGTAAAAGGGGCCCTGCTGTGAGGCCCCTTGCTTCTCAGCCAGCAGGTGGAGGCTGGTTCGGGGGCATGCCACACTTTGCAGGCAGGTTTGCGGCTTTTCTCTGTGTCGTGCCTTGCCAGGGAAGGCGTCGGGCTGTGTAGCACGAGGCCCAGTGAAGAGGTAGACCAAGAACCGAGTTTGTTTCCATTCTTCTAGTGAACACCCGGGGGGCCGGCACTGTGAACACTAATCCCATGGGCGGAGCCCTCCTGACTTCTGCTTGCTGCATGTGTCAAGCGGACTTTGTATATTTTGTTTGGAAAGACTTGCAGGGGGCAAGATGGACAGCTGCACGCCAACCTGCTGTGTCCTGTGGATGTGGTGGATGTGCCGGAGGGCACCTTGCCTGACATGCAAAGCACTGAGCGGGCCATCCAGCTATTGGAAAAGATGACAACATCGAGCAGGCCTTTCTTCCTGGCTGTTGGGTACCACAAGCCGCACATCCCTTTCAGATACCCCAAGGTGAAGAGCTGCTCGAGGGTTGGTCCAGTAGAACTGCTGTAGTGATGACACTTTGTGGTGGGGGTGGTCGTACAAAAGTGGCCCTGTTCCACTGTCTCCTGTTCCCAGGAATGCCTGACAGACACTGGGTCCCAGTGGAGGGAAGATGCCACTCTGAGCTCAGGGCCAAGAAGGCCTTCGGACATGCAAGAATCCTGGCAGAAACGCTCTGCTCTCACAAGGAGAGCTTTGCTTTCTTTGTCTTGAGCTCAGTGAATTGGTTGGGGAGATCACCATACTCCCAGTTGGTCACCAGAGCAAAAGAAGGGGCACCAGGCCAGGACTGCAAGTCCTCTTTAACAACTGCTGTCCCCAGGTCCAGACCCTTTGACACAGGGCACTGGAGCACGGTGCTTGGGGTGCCACTTAGAGGAGGGAGCCTTTTCCTCTCTAGATCCTTTCCCAGCCTTCCTCGGGTGTGTCCACTAGAGGACGACTGTGGAAGATCGAGGCTTGTCTCCCCGCCTGCACCCCGGGGGCCGTTGCTCTTCATTGCCTATGCTGAGGACAGCAGCACTGAGTCTGGAGAGTCCTCTCGGCATGTTTCCAAACCTCAGGGTGGGCCTGGGGACCCCGCCACCCATCTGCACAGTTTTCCTAGCTGGAGGCAGGTGGGAAATGCGTCAGGAGGCTATGCGTTTGTATGAGGAGAGAACTATCACTGCTTACTTCATAGGAGACAGAAGTTTCCTAGTTTCATTGCCACTGACCCCATGTGAGGTGACCCAAGTCCTGACTTCCAGTTGGGGGGTGTTGGTGAGCCACCATTTAAGTGCATCACAGTCTTCTGGGAAAGGCAGTGACAACAGCTGTAGTGAAAGCCTTGTGCCTTTGTATTCTCAAGGAGTTTCAGAAGTTGTATCCCTTGGAGAACATCACCCTGGCCCCTGACCCTGAGGTGCCTTCTGGCCTCCCTGCTGTGGCCTACAACCCCTGGATGGACATCAGGGAGCGGGAGGACGTGCAGGCTTTGAATGTCACCGTGCCCTATGGCCCCATTCCTGTGGACTTTCAGGTACTGGTGCGCTTCCGGGACGTCATGGCATCAGTGAGGCCCTCTTTCTCCGTAGAAACTGCTCTGCAGTGTTGTACTCAACGTGCAGGGTGCTGTGGTGCCTCGAAAGTCTCCATCTGCTAGTGCTGCTTCCAGGGCAGAGAGCGCCTGGAGAGTCTAGTCACTCAGTAGACGTGGGCACAGTGGTGAGGGCCTTTATTTCCGGTGACTGACAACGCGTCAGCTCCAGAGGTGGGCAGCTTCCTTCTGGATCAGAGTGTGGGCTGCCTTTGATTGCAGGGCCCCTCTGTGGGTATCTTCCCAGGAGCATGTCCCTCTTGGGGGCTTAGTGAGCAGGGTCTTGGTGCGGAGGGAGCTGGGGCACCACCAGGGCCCCTGCCAGCTAACTGGCACCTCCTGTCCCGTGGAGCAGCCTCGGAGATGGACTCCTCACACTGTTGTGTCCCACTGTTGTCCTGCCCTGGGGCGGCTGTAACAGAGCATAACCCTGAGTGATGACTTCTAAGAACAGTTCTAGAGTCTGAAGGTCTTAAGCGGGCTTGACTGTGTGGATCCCTTCCGGGAGCTCGTGCTAGTGTCTGGTGTCTTCCTACCATCCTTCCTGGGCCTTTGCTTGGAGACAGGTTCCCCTGTGCTGACTGCCTACCCCTCCTCGCCCCTTCCTGCTTCTTCTCCCCTCTCGTGCCCACCCTTGCCCGCCCTGCTGTCGTCTCTGCACCACAAGGGTGACCTCCCTCAGTGGTGTGCTGCTTTCTCTACTGGTGACCACAGCACCCCTTCTAGATCCACTCGCCCACCTGAGCCTCCTCCCGTCTCAGTCCCCATGGCTTAGGAGGTACTTGTCCTCACGGTCACGCCCAGGCCTATGTTCTGCCCTTCTCGTCAGTTCCCTGCTGACAGTGAGTCCTCGAGCCTCCTCTCCAGCCCAGGCCTCGCTGCTGACCGTCACACCTGCCTGCCCATCTCCCTGCCAGGGCCACTTCGAGGCAGCGGGCACAGAGGCCTGCCACCCTGCCTACCCACCTGTCCCCCTCTTCTGCCTCCTGGTCTTCGTGTGACCACCACCTCGTGCTGATTGAGACATCTAGAGTCCACCTTTGGATTCCTCACTCGTGTTCCTTGTCCACCCTCCCCCCCACTTTGCCCGGGGTCCCCTAGATTCCTCCTCCATCTGCCTTCAGCTTTTTAGCCTTCACTGCAGCAGACCTTTCCTTGGCTCACTCATTCCGTTCCAGTCTCCCACGTCGGCTGCACACCCACCACGTGCCGTGCACTGACCTGGGCCCGAGCTGCCTCCTCCTCATTTCTATCCCCAGCCTCAGCGGCCCCACACACCTGCTCTGTGGCACTCTGTGCTGGTCTACACGCTGAAGCCCCTGCCTAGAGCGCCCTACCTGCACTGTGTGATTGCAAATGCCAACTCATCCTTCAGGCCTCTTCTGTGAAATTCCTCTGTGCAGCCTCCCCTGATTTCCTCAGGGCTCAGTCTTTGTGGGTCACCCCTGATGCTTAGGCCTTCTCATCTCCAAACCTGTGTCCTCTTTTCAAGGCCCCACACAAGAAGGAGTGGGGACCCGTGAATAGCCAGCACCCAGTTATCCTGACAGGTCATCCTTGCATCTCTCCTCACTTCCGGTGCTTCCTGACAGTGCTTGGCATTGATTCGTTTGTACACACCATCCTGATCTGTCTCCATTGTCGCATAGTCTTCCTCCTGTGTGTCTGTGCTCAAATTTCCCTCTGTTTTGGATGCCAGTCACTAGCTTAGGGCCCACTGTAACCCGGTCTGACCTCGCCTTACCTTGTTACGTCTGCAAGGATCCAATTGCCAAAATGGCTCATGGTCATAGATATTAGGATGAGGACCTGAACATATCTTTTTGGGGGACACAGTTCAGCTCACATCAGCTTGGCTACTCCTGAGGTCCCTGCTGGGTTTGTGGTTGTGCAGGGGGGACTGTTCTCTCCTCCCTCCATTGCTTCTCTCCTGTTCTGCTAGGAGTTGCTTAGAGAGAAGCTATTCATGACAGCTGCAGCGTGTGACCCCCAGCCATTGCTGTTGTGTGCTGGCTTAGGGGAGTGTCAGAGGAAAGGTCTCATGGGGTCAGCCTGCCTGTGTGGACTTGGGTGGGGGCCGAGGGGGTCAGTGTCCGTACATGCCCATCGGCTGACCCTTGTATGAATGTGTGCTAGAGGGAAGCAGAGACAGAAGTGGCACGTGCATCTGTTGGGCTCTGCACCCCAGAGTGAAAGCTGATTAGCTTAGAAAGACCTGACCGTTGGCCCCGAAAGTTTAGCTGTGACTCTGCAGGTGCAAGAGGGACCACAGATGTGAAGCCATTCACACTACATTTGTCTGAGAAAAGTCACCAAGTGCGTCCAGGAGAACACGGGCCCAGGGAGCGCGACTGCAGGTGGAAATGCCAGCCACTGCCATTACTGTTTTTCACTTTGCAGCGGAAGATCCGTCAGAGCTACTTCGCCTCTGTCTCGTACTTGGACACTCAGGTCGGCCGCCTTTTGAACGCGCTGGAGGATCTGCAGCTGGCCAGCTCCACCATTGTTGTGTTCACTTCCGATCACGGTAAGTCCCTCGGGGCCTCGGAACTTGGTGCGGAGATGGGCTGTCTTTCAGATGGCCTGAGACTGAGGAGCACTCTGGTTTGTCGTTAGCACTGCCCAGAATCAGCTTGGTGGCCTGGGACTTGTGGATGACTTCAGGGCCCCATGAGTCACAGAGGGATTTTGGATGGTGCAGGAGGTTGGATTCGAGAGGAACGTGTGTGAACTGCTCTTTCACTTGGTGGGCTCAGCGGGGCCCTCCTTCTGTGGGACAGCTTCCCTGGCCTCCCTGCTAGTCCAGAGTTGGAGGAGGATGCGGAACAATCCCAGCAGGACTCTCTGGCCTGCTTCTGTCCTCCTTTCCCATCCCTGCTGTCCTCTCTGCCAGGGCCTGGGCTTCTCAACGCTCCATCTTTTCTGGGGCTGTATCCTACTTTTTGCCTGAAATGGAACTGAGTTATTCCAAGTGACACGAAGATCGTCCTTGACTGCCCAGTGCTGGAGGGCTCAAAGAAATGCCTCATGCGTGTGGGTACCAGTCAGCGAATTCGGCCCTGAGCCTTTTCCTAGAGAAATCCCTTCACCCCTTTGTGCTCTAGCACCTGGTGGGATTACTGCGTGGAATCAACCGGTGGTTTCCTCTGTTGGAGTAGTTGTATTTTCCCCTTCTTCATCCCCCCTCCTTTCGCCTAGATCTCCCAGAACACAGGTGACCTTGTCATAAAAAAGGAAAATGTTCCAGCCAACTGACTGGTTACAACCTCCTAACACCACTAGCTAGCTCCCCTGGACGCCCATGATCCTGGTTGCAGTGGCGGGGGCCGATGGCGCCAACCTCATGTCCCCCCCCCCGCAGTGGCTCACTCATCCGACCCCTTGCTGTCTCTTCTCACACAGCTTCCTTTTCACTAACAGTCATCCTTGTCCATGTTCATAGGGCCTGGTGCAGTTGTTTCATTGATAGAGGGCTGTCTTGGGTTTTTTTTGGAGGGCTACCTTGATTGAATGGTGATCACTAAAAGGTGCCTTTCCACAGTGGTCCTTCTTGAGGGAGCGCTCTTGACTTGGAAGAGGTTCCAGCCCTGTTCTGAGGACCAGAGTTGCTGTGGAGTTGACCTCGTGTATAGCAGAACAAGGCATTGCCCGCTTCTCCATCACCCTCAGGACAAGTGATCTGCTCAAGTCCATTGTTGCAACCACTGAGTATTTTGAGTGCCTCCCAAACTATGGAGTGCCTCCTCCAGGGCTGCATCGGCAGTCTTCTGCTGTGTTCAGTAGCTGATTTTTCAGAAGGATGGCACCTTTGTTTCCCTTCCTAGTCTGGAAGCTCCGCTGCTGTCTGTCAACCTGGGGTGACCCGGCTGGTGTTTGAAACCCCGTAGGAACACCCAGGCCCTCACAGCAGGACTGACTGCAGCATTATGTGAGACGGGTGGTGAGCGGCTGTGCGTAATCCGCACCATCCTGTTTCAGGTGTTAGCAGTTGCGGCGGTCCTGAGTGACTTCTCTAACCTTTTTGGGAACACTAAGCACTAAGTGCTTATGCGAATTTGTTAATGTAAAAATGGGTCTACAGCCTAAAAAGGTTGTTAGGAATGGATGACTTGGAATAGTTGTATTGCAAAAGATATTTCAGATCAGGGATAAGGATCTGAGATTGAAAGGTTTCTTTTTTTTGTCAATAGTATGTATATGTATGAGATGGAATCAACCTAACGATCATGGGTTTGTTTTTGGAGTATGGTATATACACCTCAGCAGAAAGAAAACAAACAACTGGACCAATAAGCAGCATTGGGTTAAAGGGGAAAAATACTGATGTTGTCAAGGATTTAGTTTTACTTGGGTCCACAGTCAGTTTCGTGGAAGTTGTTGTTAAATGCTGTCAGCTCCAGTTTACAGTGATTCCTGTTCTGTGCTTTTTCTGCACCAGGGTGGTCACTCGGTGAACATGGAGAATGGGCCAAATACAGCAACTTCGATGTCGCCACTCGCGTGCCCCTGATGTTCTATGTTCCTGGTAGGACAGCTTTGCTTCCAGGGACAGGCGCAAAGCTTTTTCCTTACATCGACCCTTTAGAGTCCAGCTCGGAACTGATGGAGCCAGGTATACAATATGCCGAAGTGAACCATGTTGCTTGAGCTCTGGGCTGTTGACTGTAACGTTAGTCCTTTGAACCCAGCAGCTATTCCGTGGGCGAAAGATGTAGCAGTCTTTCCACCGAGGTAGACCCTTGGGAAGTCTGTCGGACGGTTCTACTCTGTCCTGTAGAACTGCTGTGGGTCTGGTGACTTGAAGGCATATGGCAACAATGCTAGTTGACTCATTGGTCAGAGCATTATAGAGTCCCCGCTCTGAGCCGGTGTCATCGTGATGCTGTCCCATTTGTTTATTTTGTGTGTGTTGCTTGTGCTTTTGTTGTCATATTTTAAAAAAAATCATTATGTAGCCAGTGTCAATACGATTTATTGTATGTTCTTTTAAGAACATACAATTGTATGTCCTGTGTGTTCTTCGAAGAGGTTTCTGGCTGTAGCTGTTAGAGTTAAGTCCTTCATCTGTCTTGTGTTGATTTTCATAATGATGTGGGGTACGGTTCCAGCTTCACTCTTCCATGCGGGGATCCAGTGGTCCCGGCTCTATTTATTGAAGATATCAGTGGATTAAAGAGAAGTATAATTCTACGGTTTTAAGTTACACTGCCATAGTTCAAGTGCCCATTTGCTGCATGTGGCTAGAGGCGAGCACAGTGGATGGCACAGATCTGGGGCCTTTCTCTCATGGCCCGCAGTGCTCATGAGCAGTCGGCCCACATTATTGCTGACCGTGAGTTGCATCCACTGTGCTGCTGGTGAGTTCCTCCTGTGAGCTGTTTTCTAGAGCCTTGTCTGGAGGTAAGTGGCGGGCGCTTGCTTGAAGCATACACTAGGGAGTGTTACTGTGGCATCTGGCATAATCTGACCACTCAGTGTGTCCACTGCCACCACCTGGGAGCAGGTTGCCACCGCCTCTGGCTGGCTTACAGCTTGCCCCATGGTCTCCTTGCTGTGTCCCTGCTTCACTGAATGCCACCTCCTCACAGCAGTCTTCACGGCAGCCGACAAGCCTCAAGGGCGCTGGCCCCATCATCTCACTGACCGCGGGGTCCCACAGTTCCTGAACATTTCATTGTTTCCACATGACCGGAGTCACGGTTCTGTTTGTGACTTGGTGTCCTCCCATTGCCTCACATCAGGCCACTTCATGGCTTCTGGTCCCATTATTAGTGATAACTTGGCCGTGTGTAGTGTCAGCCCCAATCTTGACATTGTGCCAGATTTTTTTCTTTTTGTGCAAATCAAGTGTTTGGAAAGTGCGGTTGAGCAGCATAAGCAAACCCCTAAAGGTGCTGAAAGGCCAAGGTGGTGGTTCCAAACCAAGGTGCATTATAATGGCCAGAATCAATGCCAAGTGCAGGATTAAGATTTCAGTGCTGGCTCGAAGGCAGAGTCCTGTTGTCACAGCAGTGCTTCAGTTGTTTTACCCTCTGTACTAAACAGGAGATGGTTTTTCAAAGTGCGCCAGACTTGCTGATTGCCTTCGAGTCGAGCAGGACTCATAGCGACCCTATGAACCAAAGGCCTGAAGCCCCTCTACAACCATCGACATCTATCAAAGTTCTGAGAGTTTCCGGAGGCATGTTATTTGGGAAGTGGATGACACTCTTGCTGGGTACCTATTTCTTGTCCTGTGTTGGATGAGTAGGTTGAAGAGGGTGACGTGCCAAGTTGGCCTCGCCTCTCAAATTTTTGGGCTAAAAGAGATGCTGTCAAAGAAAAGGGTCCTGTGGAGCCCAGGCGGGCTGCTGCTTTTCTGCTGGGCCCGGCGGCGTTTTTGTGACATAACGCACTGCCATGTTGCTTCCCGTTTCAGGCAGGCGGACTGAGGAACTCGTGGAGCTTGTCTCTCTCTTCCCCACGCTCGCTGGCCTGGTGGGACTGCCACTCCCACCCCGATGCCCTGTGCCCTCCTTTCACGTGGAGCTGTGCAGAGAAGGCCAGAACCTTCTGAAGCATTTTCAGTTCCATGACTCGGAGGAGGATTCGGACCTCCATGGTAACCCCCGCGAGGCCATTGCCTACAGCCAGTACCCACGGCCTGCAGACTCCCCTCAGTGGAATTCTGACAAGCCGAGTTTGAAAGATATAAAGATCATGGGCTATTCCATCCGCACCATAGACTATAGGTATACAGTGTGGGTTGGCTTCAGTCCTGAGGAATTTCTGGCTAACTTTTCAGACATCCATGCTGGGGAGCTGTATTTTGTACATTCAGACCCACTGCAGGATCATAATGTGTATAATGACTCCTATGGTGGGGAACTGCTCCCCTTATGGATACGGCCTTGAATCTTTCCAACCCCAAAGGGTAGGTGTTCGATGATGGAGAGAGACGACCTCAGAACTGGTGATTTCATGGTCACCCCCATATTGGTGGCCTCCCACGGTGTGGGCACTCAAAACACACATCAATGGTTCAGCCTATGGAGCTGTGACTGCCAGACTTTTTATTTCAGTAACTTGAACTTGGAACGATTGAGTGCTAAGTGAGCAGACTTCAAATTACACCATGCCTTTAGGGACCATCGCAATGCTAGGTAACTTTCAGTGCCCCAGCATGGAGTTCTGCGGTCCCTAAATAGAAAACAAAGAGAGAAAAAGCAGGTGGGAGTAAAAAGCTTAGCCTGTCATCTCCTACAGATGTGCGGAGGCTGTAGAAGCACGTTGATGAGAAAGCAGATTGAACCGGAGTCCACACCTGCCGGAAGAAACACGTGGGTGGGCCACTGAAGTCGGAATCCTTCCCAGTAGTTTGTTCGCCACAAAGTGTGTCAGTATTTTAAGGGGAAATCATGAAACAAAACAGAGCCAATTCCATTGTCACTGCAGTGTCTTAAATTATAACCAAAAGGGCAAGATGCTTTACAAAAAGATGGCTTCACGTCGGTAGCAGCTCGGACAGGTCCTGTGTGGGCTCGTTGGTATTTGCTTTGGTTATCAGTCCCTCTGCACCCTCCACCGAAGCATCCGAGCTGACATAAATCCCTGATGCGCTGTCGCTGAGTCATCTGGTCCCGAAGCTCCGCTTCTGCACAAGCCTCGCCTTTCAGAGCTCATTGCTCTCCGCTTTCCCTGCCTCATTCTGTCTCCTCTTCCTTGCGCTCATCGCTTCTGCTTTGGTTTTTTCAGTTCAGTCTGGGAATGTGCCGTGACATCTTTTCAGCATATTTGCTTTGATCTCCGCCTCTGCAGTACTCTGTTATTTCCCTTGCTGGATTTCTGGAAGTGTAGTGTTAGCCTCAAAGCCCTCCGGGTTCCAGCCCTGACTAAGTCATTGGCACAGGTGTGCTGAGACACTCACATCCAGTTGCACCTTATTGTTCACCATGTGGCCAGAGTCACCACCAGACTCGCCTGATGCCCCTCTGGCGTCTGCCTGTGTCTCCCTGCAGTGCGGCGAGGGGTCTCTGGGCAGCGTGTTAGCTTTCCTTGGCTCTCCCGTGTCCTGGGCCCACCTTCCCTTATCTCGCTTTGTAGGCATGAGGGCTGCTTCCTGGTCAGTGACGTGCTCTCTAAGCCGGCTTCTGGGTAGTGCTTTTTTTCTTACCTTTTGTCTCCCTTTCCTGTCTCTGACATACAGTGGGATGTCTGGCTTTCAGACCTCAAAGCTGCTGTCCTGCAGTCCACATCTTTGTTGCTTCCTGTGACCTTCTTCCAGTCCTGCTCTGCTGGATGTATTGCATTAATGGCTTTCTCACTCACTCTTTGCTGTCCCTCCAGAACGTTTGCAGAGCCTTTAAATCCCATGGGCGGGATCGAACCATGCTCGCCTTGAACTGCCAGAATGGCTGGGCTCGGCCTTTCCATTAGCAGCTACACTCCCGACAGCCTGTGCCCCCAGAGCTCCTGCTCTAGTCTTTGTTTGGGAACTAGAAGCCGCTCTTCTGTTAGGGTAGGAGTCTGCCTATTCTGTTTTGGTTGCAATAGGGTGATGTTGGCATCCTGGAGCCGTCCTGGCCCAGGGATTCCCAGGCGTGCGGGTGCGTGTGAACCCTGCGCCGGGCTGGTTAGAAGGCAGCGTGTAGCCTGTGGGGGACTGTGAACTTACAGTTCCACTGAACCGCAAGGTGTTGTGCTGTCCAAGCGCCGCACTTGGAGGAGCCACAAGGCACGTGCGGCTGACTCGGGAAATTGTCCCACCTCCCCATGGCCTCCTTCCCACAGCACCTGGTGACCACATACTCTCTTGTCCGGGGTCCTCACGGAAGGGGCCTCATACACCGTGTGTCCGTTTGTGTCTGGCTTTCCCCCACTCACTGCATGCTTGCAAGGCTCCCCCATGTGGGAGCACGCCTCAGAGCTTCCTTCTCTTTGCGGCCCTTGTCTTCAGTCATTCATCTATCTGTTGGTGGATGCTGGGTTTGTGTCCATCTTTTGGCTGTTGTCAGCTGTGCTCCTCTGAATATTGGTGTACACGTATCTATCTGTTTGAGTCTCCGCTTTCCGTTTTCTTGGGTGTATATCTAAGAGTGGAATTGCTGCATCACATGGTAATTCTATGTTTAACTTTTTTAGGAGCCTCCACACTGTTTTCCACAGCACCTGCACCATTTCACATTCCCTTCAGCACTGGATAAGGGGTTCCGATCTCTCCATATTTGTGTTTTTGATAACAGCTGTCCTAGTGAGTGTGACGTGGTATTGCATTGTGGTATTGATCAACATTTTCTTGTTAACTAATTGAATAAGTATTGAATATCTTTTCATGTGCTTATTGGACATTTGTATATCTTTTTTTAGAGAAATGTCTGTTTAAGTCCTTTGCTCATTTTTAACTTGACTTACTAATTTTTTTTTTTGGCTCTTGAATTTTATATCTTTATCTAATGTATAGTTTCCAAGTATTTTTTTTTCCATTCTGTAGGTTGCGTTTTCACTTCCTTAATAATGTCTCTTGATGCACGAAAGTTTTTGTTTGATCAAGTCCAGCTTAATGTTTTCTTTTGCCAGTTGTGCTTTTGGTGTGATATCCAAAAATGCCTTGCTTCTCCTGATGCCACTTAGGTTTTCTCCTCTGCTTTCCTCTACTTATGGTTTCTTTTTGTTTTTTGTCATTTTTAGTTCTTGTATTTACATCTTTGTTCAGTTTGCATTACTTTTTTTGGTATGATGTGACATGTGGGTCCAGCTTCACCCAGTTGTCCCAGCATCAGATGTTGAACAGATACATTTCAATGAGTAAAAGTTGAAAGAGATGCACTTGTCACAGTTCAGGAGCTCAGTGACCACAAGCGACTGGCTGGTGGCTGCCATGTGGGCGAGTGCTGCTGTCGAGCTTTTCTGTCATGACAGAAAGTGCTGTTTGATAGAGTTGCTCTAGATTCCTGCTGCTTTTAAGCTGGACCACCTGGCTGTTGACAAGTTGCTCCTGTGAGCTGTTTCTCTGTTGTGTTTGCCCCCAGAGACTTAACCAAAGGTGAGTGAAGTATGCTTGGTGTGTCGCATAGGAAGTTGTCACTATAGCAGTTGGCCTCTTCCTTGTCATTAGCATTGCCATTGCCATCACCCCAGCCTTCGCCCCTCCTTTCCAGGTAGTTTACCTCCCCTCCTCTTTCCGCCCTCGTTCCCCAAAGAATCCATATGTCTTCCTAGAATCCCTTTTTAATTTCCCCTTTAAGAACACCGCCAGTGCCTACTACCAGGTCTACACGACCTTTGCATCGCAGTCCGAGTCTTCCCTTTCTCCCACGATGCCCCTTTCCTAGGCGACCAGCTCACCACTGGTCCCTGCTTGCCCTTGCACATCCCTCCCTTCCCCAGCTCCTGCCTTGGCCGCCCCCCTCCTCTCTTCACGAATTCACTCATGGTCATTCTCACAGCTCACTTCCTGCTCCCTCCAGAGGCTGAGGTTTCTGTGACCCTCTCAGCTGGATCATGGGATGAAACAAGTGTTATTAAAAAGTTCATGTTCACCTAACTTTAAAAGGGATGTTTTTGTACCTGATGATACAATTGATATGGAGAATTTGCAAAACACAGAAACATTAAAAAGTAATTAAAAAAATTTGCGTAAATGCTTTACTCATAAGAGAATCATTGCCTTTTCGTGCGAAACTTTTATGTTGTTGTGATCATGCCATGTTCTCTGTCACACACTTTTGTATTTTTTTTCCCACTGTCATTTAAGTATTATCTGTGGTTAGTATATAATTGGCAGAGATGCTTTACATTGTGGTGTCATTTTACCTACTTGATCTTTTGCTCATTGGGACTCTTAAGTTCTTGCCAGCTTTTCAGCGATGCTGTTACGGCTAACTTTGGGATGCAGTGTTTCCATGTATTTCCATAGGATATGCTTTCGCTGCCCAATTGTCAAAGCCACGTCCATTTCTCCATTTCTCTCCTCTCCCCACGCGCTTGCTACCCGAGGGGAGTCAAACTGAAAAATAAGGCAACCAGGCATGCAGACAAATGCATCCAAGAAACCAGCAAGACCCTCCAGTGATCGGTGGAGTTCTGTTCCTGGCTTGCTTTACAATTTTTTGCTATTACTGACCCTGGCCGATACTGGGCCATTGCATTTCCAGCTGTGTGAATCTACCTTTTTATTGTGATTAGGGCTTGGCTTGTTCAAGTAATAAAATAAATCAATCTTTTCCTCTGTGACATTTCTTTCTGTTTTCCCTTTACCCAATCTGGATCTGTAATAAAGATTCATTTAGCTTTGTGCACGTGCATGTGTGCGCACGCGCATGCTCGTGTGAGTTTTTCTCCTTATCGTCAGATTAAGAGGCAGGTGCTCAGTGTGGAACGATGGGAGTGGGGGGTTATGCTGGGAACAGAATCCCAGCCAGAGTGGAGCCCATGACCGTGTGCACCTCACCTGACTCTCTCCCCCATGCGCCCGCTTCTGCACACAGATGCAGTCTTTGTTCTCACTGAGCTGCCGCTCCCCACAGATAATCTGCTGTCCTTCATCATGAGAGTTCCATCTGCCGACAAGAGCCAAGAAGCCAAACTCAGACCCGCTGCTTCCAAGTCCATTCTGCCTCATGGTGACCCTCCACTGGGTTCCTAAGGGCGGAGATCTTCTCAAAGAATGTGTCCTCTTTCCCTTGAGGAGCTCTTGCGTTGAGTTGCTGACCTTTCGTTAGAAGCCCAATACATAATGATTACACCACCAGGGATCCTGTCATCTTAAAAAAGCCACAAAGAAAACCAGACCCGCTGCTCTTGCGTCGATTCCAGCCATCAAGTTGAGTATGACCCCTCACAGCTCCAGAAACAAGGACAAGCCTGAGCCTTGGCCTGTCCCGTGCCGTCCTCACCAGATCTGACACACTCGAGCC